TCGGTTGAAGACACAAGTATATAATCGTGTTGGTTTTTTACCGCCATTTTAATGACATTCCAGTACAGAAGCTTAGAGATATATACAATTACAGTGAGATATTGCTACAGTTTGAAAACTTGTAACTTTGTGGGAAAAAAAACGTAAAAAGTCATTTCTTCTGGTTTTGACTTCTTCCCTTCCTATACAAGTGCTTATGTTGTGATATTGCCCGAGCGGTGGCATCTATTGTTTAGGAGAACATAGCAGCGGCTTCTTGCCTCTTATTGACGGGTATAAATAGAACTGCCTGATAATATTGCAGCAGCACAAAAAGTAACCAACGTGGTATATACTGTACACAAGAGTAGTTGCAGTAGGCTTCCAGGTATGCAGTAGTGAAGATCTGTATTGTAACTGACTCCACAACATTTTGTTATAGAAATTTGCTGCAACTGCTTAAGGTGAAGTATGTCAGGTAAAGGGGGGTACGTTATTTGAACTTGTTTCCAGTAGCAGAGCCATTTCTCTTCAGTTGTTTATTATTGCAGATTGTAACGTTCAATCTTTTTTTTTTTTGTGAAAATATTATGCATTGAAGATAAGTTATTTTGTCAGTTATAGCTCTTGGAGAGAAAGGTTACAGTTAGAAAAAAAGAAGACTGAACTGGCCAAGACAAGCATGAAGACAAACGGTGACATGCAGCGGAGTGCAAACTCACTTTAGCCTGAGCTTGCTGCAGTTCTTGCTCCAGTTTATCTCGGTCCATTTTCAGCATCTTGTTGGTTTCCCGAAGAGCACTGATAGTCTCCATCTTCTTTAGCTGCTCTTCCTGCTGCACTAGAGTTTTTGCTGTAGCCTGACATAGAGGAAGAAACAGATACAGAGAAGTAACAAACAGTATTCTCTATTATGTCCTTTGCACATTTAAAAGTCACACTAGCATCCTACGTGCTGCTTATTTAATAAAAAAAACAAAAAAAACCCACACTCTTTCTGGCTAAATCCGGTACGGACGCTCTGAACTTACAATACAAGTTTCTGAACTGACTATCAACCTCACAGAGTTCAAGAAGTTGCATAGTAACAAATTTGTGGAAGTAAAGTTTTACAAAGTATAATGAAGCTCTTCATTCTTTAGTAGATTCTCAAATATTAATCAAGGCCTCTTTTTCCTCCAAAAATAACTTGTTTTGTTTTGTTTTTTGAGCAAACTGATATTATTTACATTTACTCGGCTAAAGTTACAGCATTATGGTGTTTCAAGTGAGGCAACTCACTGTGACTCTTACGGCAACAAAAACCAGGACCTCCCATTATATTGGTGTCACAGCTTCACTAATCTAACTAAGCTACAGTCACCACAGTATATACACCAGCTTTTAATTGACTACGTTATTTGATCCCAAAAGGTTGATTCTGTTCCTCTGGACGTAGCGTTTTCAATGGGAGAAACATCTCATCACTCATCCAAGTGACTTCTTGGGATTTACTTACCTGGATGATTGAGCATGGATCAAGATATGTTATTTGATCGAAGGTAAAACAGATCAAACACTCCCAACTCATACCTGCATCTTCTCCCTCTCAGCATTTAGGGTTTCTTGTAGTTCCTTTAATTCTCTCTCTTGGTGTTCCACTCGCTGTTTGTAACGAAGAGCCTCTCCGTCAGACGCCTCACATTGCGCTATAGCGATATCCTTTTCCCGCCGCACAAACCTGCACCGCAAATGCACATTTTACACTCAGTTCTACTTTGAACAAGTAAAAGATTTATAATGAAAGAATTATTAGAATTTCGTTTCATCATAAGGTGCTTCAGAGGTAACAATGTTTACATACTCTATTATAAAATAAACTGCAGTGTCAGCTATTTCAATACTTTCAATACACAATAACACAAACACTGATCAACCAGCTCGTGTTACAGTACCTGAGTATTTCTAGTATTTGCTCAGTGGTCTTTCCTTCCTCACTGAATGACAAGTCAAGCTGCTGCGGTTGTTGTTGTTGTTGCAGCTGGCGGCTCTTAGCAGCTATTTCATCCATTTGTTCATGCAGGAGGGAATTCTGCTTTCCCAACTCCTCACAGTGACGGCTCTGATTTGACAGATCGTCCTGAATGACAGTCATAGTGAGGACTGTTACGATCATCACAAACAGTCTTCTAATTACATTTTAATTTTCTTAAACTAAGATTCATAATGTGGTTTGTTCAACTTTATATATCTCAAACAGTTATTCAGACCTGTGTGAAAAGAGGTATGTTAGCTTGCCCGATTAAGATTATTGGGTTGTTGTTCTACCTTCAGCTTTTTCTCTGCTGTACTCCAGGCTGCAGTTTTCTCCTGCAGGAGGGAGGTGGTCTTCTTCAATTCCTCCTCTATCTCCATCTTTTGTGCTGCTCCTTGTTGGAATTTTTTCTTCAGTTCCTGTAGAGCCTCCACATCAGCAGCATGAAGCATTAGCTCCCGCTCATACTTAGCCTGTGCCTCTCCAGCTAGCTTAGTCTGACAGGAGAAGAGAAGGGGAGGGACCTTCAGTTGCATGTCAAGTGTGGTTTTCTTACTGTAGGCAAAAATTAAAAAGAAAATACTGGCAACCACCAGCGCTACCCCTCAGCCTCCTAGTAGACACACTTATGGTATCATTTTCAAAATCCTACATCACCTTGTTGTCAAGTTATCAAGTCCACAAGAGTTTTAGAAAATTGAATCTCAGTGACCTTGACCTCAAACTCCTTCAAGAATTTTAGTAGATGCACCTATGTTATCAATTTGAAAATCTAGATAACTTATTTTTTGAGTTATGAAATTCACACGAATTTCTGAAAATTAGGTCACTGAGATTCAAGCTAATCCAAGATCTACGTTGCCTTGTTTATGAGTTGGTGGTGGGGTGATGATAATACCCCACCACCTTTTTACAGCTGAAGGGTAAAAACTGGTAGGAGTACAGTAGAAACCAAGTATATTAATCAATGCACGTGTGTGTACCTGCAGCAGGCTGTCCTGTACAGCCTTCTGCTCCAGAGTTACAGCAGCAGCTGCCCTCTCCAGAGCCTCCTGTTGCTCTACCCGACTGGCCTTCAGACTGCGTTGTAGCTCACACACCTGTATACAGAGAGTAAAGGAGATTACGGTCATTGCATTATCAAGTTGTCAGTGGATCTATATGTGCCTAAACAATTGAGCTTATTCTATAATTTGCATTTTAAAAAGAATTGTTGGTGACTAATTTGTCATATCATTCATAATAATTATGCTCACGTGGGTCATGCAGCACAAAGTTATTAAAGTTGTGATGGTGAAGGCAAACATGGCTGGAAACGTTACTGCTGGAGATTCAATTCCCAAAAGAGCAGCTACTTTAGTGGTGTGGAATTATTTTAGATACAAACCAGCATATACACAACAGACCACGATAATATGAGTGCAAAAAGCCTGTAATGTCGAAGGGGGGAAATGTCTCTAACTTATTTCACCTTCTTAAGCATCAGCACCCAAGCCTGTATCAGGAATGTCTGAAAGCCTGGGAGGAAAGCTCTGCAGCTAATGCTACAAAACTAAAACAAAGTAAGCTAGTTCAGCATGGCATCACCAAGTCTCTCGCCAGTTGTATGATTTGATGTATTCTCACTGATCCAGGTAAGTAAATCCCAAAAGGTTGATTCTATTCACCTGGACGTAGACGATATTACCCAAACTGTCACCATTTGTTTGGCAAAAGATATGATGCCAATCCAAACAGTGGAGAAGGAAGGCTTCATGCAGCTTGTGAGCAGCTAGACCTGCTATACACCCCTAGGGAAAAGGACATTTTTTCAAGACGGCACTCCCAGACTCATTGTTATCTGTGAATTACTATGCACTAACCACAGATTTATAGTCAAGTAGTATGACAGAGCCTTACCTCAGTCTGAGGCAAAGAACAGGGGGAGAAATTTTATTTTTATACTTCTTAAAGTTATTGCACTTTTTAAAGTAGTTTTCATAGAATATTTCAAGTCAATGTGTTACGTTTATTTTGTCAAATGAATAACAACCAATTTTTTCTGTATTTTGGCAAATTTATTGCTATCGTGGTAATACTCTGAAATATCATATGTTTGGGCCATATTACCCATTCCTGCACCAAGTGGGTCCTCAGTTGGGTCTGATTTGGGATGCAGACGATAAAACACACGGTCTAGGGATTAGTAGAAAACCCTGAATTAAGCCATCTTCAGGGTAGGGGTGGGCGATATAAACGATATACGATAGAAACGATATCAATTTGGCCAACGATAGAGATTTTGACTATACCGCTCTATCGCGATAGCGCATGTTGATGATGTCATCAAGCTGCGCCGGTTTTGGTCGAAAGCATCGCAGCGGCTAAAACCATCTGCAAATTATGCCGGGCGACAGTCATAGCAAAGAGATGAAACATTTTTGAAATATGGGGAAAGCCAAAAACTGCGCTTCCTCCACTTCCGTAACATTGATTCATTAATGCTGAATTCTCTCGCAGCTGCTCTGTTCCCATGTTGTTGCAGTATATTAATGACTAACCTCGTATTGTGGATGAATAATCTCAGTTGTTCTCCTGACTGAAGTTTGGCCCGTGTATAGCATCCTGCTATGCGGTTGCATTTGTCCCTGACCACAAGAATCCCTCACGTTAACTTTTAATGAGTGGAAAAAAGTTGGCGTTCATCCTCCAGCTTCACTGTGCTAATGTTATGCTAACATAGCTGTGTCGCTAGCAATCACGTAGCACAACATGTTTAGGTGGGATCTAGCGAGCTAACTTCCTGTTAACTTCTAATTCCGTTAAATGTAATAAATTCTGTTTTCATGGATGCATGGATGTTAAACTTAATTGTTACACCTGGTAAAGCAACAACGCTGATGATTTAATTAAAGATGAAAGAATTTAGACCGTTTTTAACTCTCAGTATTCGTTTGACTTTGGGACCTGAAACAGACAGCTGTGGTCAGAAGTTGACATCATGGGTGTGAATGTGATGGTAAATTTGGCATACAGCCTTAATGACGTGTTAAATTATAACTCACTTGTTTCTCCACTGCACCCACAGCCTTTCTTCTTTCCTCTTGCTCTTGCTGCTTCATTTTCTCCAACTCTAAAATCCTCTTCTCCAGCTGCTTCTGCACCTCTTCAGACTCTTTCAGACGAACCTCCAGAGGAGAACGTAGCTAAAGCACGAAGAAAGGTCAGTATGAGAGTATGTTAAAAGGTGCACAGAGCAAGGAAGTACAGTATTTAGTAGTATTTAGGAGCGGTACCTCCTTCTCTTTCTCTAGACTGTCTTCCAGAGTCAGCACCACGGATCTATACTGCTCTACGGAGGCATTAGCACTCTTCAGCTGCTCCTCTAATTCACTCTTTTTCTCCTCAACACTGTGCAGGAGACCTTTCACCTCTGAGAGCTCCTGCTCTGATTGGCTGGGTAGCTGGGAGGCTGCTGGGACTGGAGAGCGCACTGTGGGAGACATTACTATTGTTTTACAGCTGACTTTGAGCATACAGGTACATTAACCCTTTGTACGACCATAATAACTTACCTCTCAATGGTGCTCGGAGGCCTACGGCCCTGGTAACTGGCGTGGTGGTGGTGCTGGAGGTGGTGGTAGCCTCAGAGGAGGTAGCAGAGGCCAGCTGGGCTTTCAGTGCTGCCACCTGCTGTTCAGAGCTACGCAGCAGCTCCCTGGTCTTCTGCTGCAGTGTGTTTTGGGTCTCCAGCTGCTTCTTAGCTTCTAACAACTGAGCCTGTAGAGCAAATGGAGGTTACAAAGGAACAAGGAATGAAACTCTTATAACACACACACACACACACAATCAGTCTATCAGTCTACTCGAGCCATGCGCTCTCCAACAACGTTTACAATGAAAGAAATAAACACAAATATTATACATACGTCCATAGTACGCCCGAGGGCATGTCTCTGTGCCACTTCCTGTTCTAGTCTGGTCTTCATCGAAGCCAATTCTGACTCCAGTTGTTCTATCTTGTTGTTCAGATGCTGGCGTGTCTCTGTTTCTGCACGCTCCATTGTCAACTAGACATGACATCCCAAGAAAGAGAATTTAACAGTTTTAAACTTTAGACATGCTTTATACCTATACTGAAGGAGAAAGAGATGACTACCAAAACAGGTGTTCAGAGTAGTCTAAAGCTTTGGTATATTTACATACACCTCATACTACGGCTGGGCCATATTATACTTCACTTTATACTTTATAATGTTAGGCAATATCTCGTGATAGATATGTCTATCGCGATTTCATACGCACATGGCAGAAAAAGCATGGCGGCGACGGAAAACAAGAAGGGCAAAAGTGGATTGCTGAATGAAACAGATGAACAAGAATTGTTTTTAAAAACCTGCAACCTCAGTGATGTGGAACTGGTTTGGTTTTTGTCCGTCAGATACCCACCAAAGCACATTTTTTGTAGAACATGCAAGTGGATCGTCGTTATAACCGTATTTTCTGCACTATAATGGGGTGACCGTGGTTCAGGGGGTTGGGAAGCTCATCTTGTAACCCGGTTCGCCGGTTTGATCCCCAGCTCTGTTTGTCTTAGTCGTTGTGTCCTTGGGCAAGACACTTCATCTACCGCCTACTGGTGATGGCCAGAGGGGCCGATGGTGCGATATGGCAGCCTCGCTTCTGTCAGTCTGCCCCAGGGCAGCTGTGGCTGCAACTATAGCTGCCTCCACCAGTGTGTGAATGTGAGAGTGAATGAATAATGGAATTGTAAAGCGCTTTGAGGGTCTCAAAAAGCGCTATATAAATGCAATCCATTATTATTATTATTATTATTATTATTATTATTATTATTATTATAAGGCACTCTTAAAAGCCTTTAATTTTCTCAAAAATGAACAGTGCACCTTAAAATCTGGTGCGCCTTATGTATGAATTCTGGTTGTGCTTACTGACCTCAAACTCATTTTATGCTCAAAAATCTGTCAAAAAATGTCTTAGTACGACTTTGGTAAGCTACGAAGCCACGCTACTTGATGGATTGTCAGAGCATTACAGCTACCGTAGTCAGGAGCCCAGCGGAGTAATACGTACTGCACTTCAACATAATATTACCGTATTGTGTGTGTGTATAAGGACCCCAAAATGGCACCTGTTAAGAGACATGCGTATGAAGCACATTTTAAACTCAAGGCTATCAATCGCGCAGTAGAACATGGGAACAGAGAATTCAGCATTAATGAGTCAATGGTACAGAAGTGGAGGAAGCACGAAGAATGAGTTTAGTAAAGTTAGACTTATCTGACTGATTTGTTTCGCTTAATGTGCCTTATGATCCCGTGCACCTTACGGTCCAAAAAATACGGACTTGACTTATTTATTTGGCGCACTGCAGTTTCATATTGCAAAGCACCTCTTTTTAACTTTTGTGGATATTATACATGGTTATGCTCAGGATATGTCAGCCCATTTCCACTGAAAATGCCTTTTGGTTAAAGTATCAGCAAGGAATTTGCATTTGCACCGTTACATTTTTATATAGCTTTAATGCACATAAAAAACAGCTGAGTGAAAATAAATTGATGTTTTTTTTTTACACTAATAAAGTTGTGGAATTAAATCGATATCAGTTATATCGTTATCGCAAATTTTCCAATATATATCGTGATAAATATTTTTGTCCACATTGCCCTGCCCTACCTCATACATATAGAAATGACCAAAAGCATCATGTCTCCAAACCCTGCTGCTGTAATATGGTACCTGTATGGTCTTGAGGTTGGTGAGCAACAAGTTCTGGTTACGTTGTTCAGCCAGCATGGCTTCCTTCTCTCGACTGAGTCGACTCTCTGCTTGTCTCAACATGTCTCTCTCTTTAGTCAGGTTCTCCACACGCACCTACAGACAGAGGCAGGTTACTGATAAAATGCCAAAGGTGACAAAAGTGCCCATGAAACAACAAATATGACCATGAACTTGATCCAAATTCAGAGGATCATATGTGTAATATTTTGTTCTTGCTCTCACCAAGAAAGATTATTTTTGTTTTGTCTCGTTCAGACCCAAAAGTACACATGATTAGAATTTTAACTTACTAGGGAGCACATTCATTTCCCTTTTTATTCCGTTTATGTTTATGAAGCAACTGCAAAAGCTACATGAACATAAATTGCTAACTGGTTATGCCTTTATGGGGCAGTCTGGTTTTATTTTTAACACGTAGGTGTCACGTGTGGCTCAACCATTAAACTGCGAATCCGCCAGTGCTAAAAGATGTTTGAAGTAAATGTGGAATTGAAGCCTAAAACGCACATTGACACAGTCTACTATAACCTCAACGTCACCAATCATTCATAGTGACGTTTAATGTACTTCCAAGGTGAGTTAATATAAACTTCTCAGACATATCACAGGTGTTTAATAGACCAAACCAGAAAGAACTCTGGAGTATTGAAAATCCTCTGTTTTGATCAACTCAGGCTGCTGAAACCTAATGTACAGAGAGGCAGATGTACTTTTGGGCCATTTCCATTGCAAAGAGAGAAAAGAAGTCGCGGAAATTTTACAACACAAAAATCTGTCAACCGGTCCTTTAGGTTAAAAATGACATCCAGCCCAACTGACTCCATAAGTCCCTTTATCTTTCTAGCCGTCCTGATCCCCACTGCTTGTCCTGCTCACCTCTTCCAGAGCAATTTTTTCATTAGCCTGTCTCAGGTCCTGGCTCATTGTGTGGATAACGTGCTCGTGTCGCTGAGCTGTTGCAGACATCTTTTGGTTCCTCTCCTGAAGGATAATGATCTCTCGGCGGTATGCTGATACAGCCTCCTGGAGTATTTCGTATCTGGTATTTAGAAACACACACAGATCTCAGCCTTTAAAAATAAATCCTGGCAACTCCCAGTACTACCCCTAAGCCTCCTGGTAGACACACCAATGGTATCAATGCTACATCACTTTGTTTTTAAGTTATTGTATTCACAAGATTGAGAAAAATTTCTTCTGACCTTGAGGTCACTGACATTCAAACTCGTACAAGATTTTTAGTAGATGCAACTATTGTATCAATTTGAAAACTGAGTCACTGCATTTAGCGACAATACTCCTTCAGCCGTTTACAGGCGAGGGGTACAAAAAGCATAAACTGTCACATTAGTGTTTTGTGTCCTAAACCCACCGCTTGTTGCTGAACTCCAGCTGAGAAGTCAGCTTGGCATGGCTGGAGCGGAGTTCTGTCAGCTGCCTTTGCAGCCGATCATTGGTTTCATTCAGTATCCTGTCGTTCTCTGCCTTCTCCTTCTTATACAGCGCGAAGGCGTCATTGAGCTGGGAACAGACGCACATCAGAAGAGCTTCATGAATTCGATTCCTAACTCAACGTTCACTTTCATATAGAGATGTGCTCGTGTGTACCTGTTTTAAAGCTGCTTTTGTCTGAGCATTCTGTGCCGACTCTGCAGCAGCAGCTCTCTGAGGAGTAGAGCGAGTAGCTGGTATTGAAGAGCGGCCGTGTGCAGGTTGGGGAGAAGAGTCTTGACCTGATGTTGCAAACAAAATAAATAAATAAAAATAAAAGCTTGACTGTGTGTGTATTCACCAACAAAGATGCTACATACAGGTCTTAGTATTTTTGTCACCTTGAGGAGGCAGACTGAAGCCAGTGCTCTGTGTCAGCAAAGCCTTGTACATGTCTCTCTGCCTTGCATTTGAGTCTGCCAGCTGTTTCTGCTGGTTCCTCTGCTCTCTCAGTTGCTCCACCTCCTTATGAAGTCGATCCACACTGGACTCCAACTCTGATATCCTACAAGAAACCAAGGGCACATACTTCATCTTTAAAATAGATATTTTCCCTGATTAACTACGATAAATAAAGATATCAGTTGACTTAACTGGTTGAAAACAGTAATGTGAATACCAAGATAAATAATGTACCATTATTAGCTAAAATGTTATTAATTTGCAATATTGTTAAAAATACTACAATAAAGTATTTACAATCCCCGTTCCATGACAGGTAAAATAGCTATAATTCAATTTTATAATTTGCAAATGAATTAAACCCCATATTTAATTAAAATAGTGCAAATGCAAGATTTAAAAGGTTGAGTCTGAGACACTGTTCACTTTTTTTTTTTTAATATTTGAGCTCATTTTGAAGTTTTAAAAAGAGTACACTCTCAGGAACTTGGAAATTTGCAGTTTAGAAAACAAAACAATGTTTAAAATTTTCAGCAGCTCAGTAGTTCATTGCCTAAAAAGTGTCGAAAAATATTTTCATGGAATGAGTCTGGACTACATGCTCACCAGTTTAGCCATGCTGTTGCAGAATGTGTTTTAGCATTAATAATAACAAATAAATAATAATGCTGAATTCAATTGAAATCACACAATCACCCACAGAGTGGCAGCAAGCCTCTAACGCAGCGGTCCCCAACCTTTTTTGCGCCGCGGACCGGTTTATGCCCGACAATATTTTCACGGACCGGCCTTTA